CTTACAATTAAGGCACGCGGTGAATGCCAAGAGATGATCCTCCATCTTCACGTGTCTGCAAGAAAAAAGAAACGAAAACACAAATTAGAAAGAAATCAGTGGATTTACTTAAGCTCGTTTTAAAACTCGCAATTTTACTTTTACTCTGTGTTTTGTTTCTGAAAGTCATTTTTTATGTTGTCTTTTTAAAAAACAAACAAAAAAAAGAAACAATAAAGTGAAATCTCACAAAGATCTGGTTTCATGTGATTTCTAGTGTGTGCGCGCGTGTGTCAGTGGGAGCTGTCCATCCTCTCTGGCTGCCCGGAGCGCTGTCCACCTTCTGTGGTGCTGAAATCTGCGCGCCTTTTGTTTCCCTCCCTCCTGCCGGCGAAGAAGCAGGAAATGGAAGAATTATTTAAACTGTATTGATTCAGGAATGTTGTCAAGATGTTTCCCTCCAGCATTTAAACTGAATTAAACCCTTTAAATCTAATAAACTGGTTAAAACCTGTGCTTTCTACTTCTGTTCACCACGTTGGCAGCAGATTCAAAGGAAATCCGGTAAATCTTGAGCTGAGGGGGGGAAAACGTATTCAGGTGACATTTATGAGGTTAAGTTGTTGAATTTCCTCTTAAATAACCTAAAAACCGGTGCAGCACGAGGTGATGACGTGTGCAACAGATCAGGATGTCCTCCGGCTCATGTGCTGGTTCATATACAATATATACATTGAAATTATGACCCAACAAAACTGGACAGAATTAAGAACCACCCACAAGCTTTGAGATTATGAAAATATTTGTAGAGGGAAAATCAGGTTTTTTTAACTTCATGGTGTGTTTTTTTTATAAACATCAATATTAAAAAATGAGGACAAGATAACTTGTAAATACCATAATATTCTGTTTAATAATATTTGGTATATCAGTTAAAATACGCATTGGTTTAATTAGGAGCACTCTGACAGCAGAAAACAATTTAATCCTGATTAATGACTTGATGTTATTTTAGACTGACTGCAGGAGTGATGGATGGGCCTGGTGGTGAGAAAAAATAAAGGTGGTGGTGGTGGTGGTGGTGGGGGGGGGGGGGGGGGGGGGTGTAATCATTCTCATCAATTCAATAATGTTAATAACTTAAAGTTATTTAAATAAGCAATCAGGAACTGGTTTGACATTTTGAAACGTTTTGATTGGGGCTGTTAGGAGAGAAGCTGCAAAAATAAATTCATAATGATTAAAGTGAGTTTGGGAGAGGGTGGGGGGGGGGGGGTGAATAAACGTTTAGCTGTTTATAAGAAAGGGAACATGTCAAAATAAACATACCAGCAGAGGGAAATACGCCCCGTCATGATCATATGGTGCACAGCAGGGTGTGAGTACAGACCAAAATATTACAGAACATGATTTTCAAATCTGAACTGCACAGCCTGGAAGTCTGGCTTCTGCTGATAAGAATAAGACTTATAATAAAAAACATATTCAGGATTAATAAATTAAATAAGTCTGCCACAAAGTGAGTTCATCGCGTTCCTTCTTCATGCCTCGACCTAATTTGGTTTATTAATCTTTGGCTGCCCCCTGGTGGTGAAAATATAAACGTACATCTGAGCTTCCAAACTTTTTTTTTATACATCCACCTGCTTTACCCAGAGAACACTTTATGCTTCAGAAAAATAAAACAAGTTGAACCATGTTAATAAATAAAGTTTGTATGGAGACACAGAAATCGTGTTGTCTTCTGTAGACCTAAGCTGTAAACCTGTATTTTATATTAAGACAAAAAGAAAGAAAACACAATATTTCTATGATCAATTTTATACTTTTAGTTTGAAAGGATGAAGAGCTGATACTTTCCTTTGAACTTCTTGGGTCAGTATTTTTTTTTTTTTTACATTAAATTCTGCATATTTTGGTTTTAATTGGCTTGTTTTTTGCTCACAAAACATACAAATGATTCAATATCTATAATAAAGAAAAATGCATGAAACAACTAATAAAAAAATCGACCTAATAATTAACATTTCAAGGCTTTAAGCATATTGATGCACAAACGATTATTCTAGTCTAAGTCTAGAATAAAAATAAGCTCTAAATTCCTTTCACTGTGTCGTCTTACAATCAACAAACCTCAGATAATTTATTTGTTTGTTTGTTGTTGTTTTTGTCAGGTCAACAGTCCAAATCTATTAATTAAATCACAACAAATTTGAGAAACTACAGTTTGACAATTAGCTCCTTTCAATAATGCACATTCTTACATTTCTACCAACAGTTGTATCAAATCATGAATCAATTGAGGTTTTCAACAAGTCTTGGCTCCCCCTCAGTTTGGCCTTCGTAGCTTCCTTGTTAGCAAAGTGCTGATGTGATGTGACTGTAACGGCTGTGGCAGCGTCCTTGCCCATTTTGTGTCATTAGCTGAAGCTGATTGGCCATGAAGGTGTTCTCAGGACGAAGAGTCTGTGTCGATCGCTGGGCGATAACTCCTCGGGCATCCTGCCCCACGCAGGGACTAATGGAAACATGCTCGGAATGAACTAAAACTCTGACCTTGAAGGTTTGTGTTGCAGCAGCAAAAATCTGTTGATGCTCAGGTGTTCTCCCACCACTAAAATGCAATAAATGATTCTCATCTCAGCCTTTTTTTTTTTTTTCTTGTTGTTGAAGCAGGAGCAAGAAAATTCTTTGGCAAACACAATCGTCTCCAGCGGGTGATTCTTTGTGAGAAACACGAGCAGCTTTTTCCTGCGCGCCTCATTACTGTTTTTTAATACGTAGCTTGCCAAGACATCAAACTCAGAGAGTGGAAAATAAATAAATAAATAAATAAAAAACCCAAGGCACATTCACAATGCTTTCATTTGACAGGAGTCAGCTGTAACCACTGCTGAAGGTAGCTCGGATGTATGTGCACCATGGTAACAAGACTGTTATAGGACCAGGATTTTGCCCCTTAATGTGTTTTTCAGTGTCTTTAAATGGAGAATAATTACAAACTGGGCTGTTGATGAGTGAAAGAAATACCAGAGGAGGAGGAGAATGTGAAAGTCTGGTCAGGGTGACGTTAAAGGCACCATGGTGTTCTCAGGGAGGGTGTGGGTCACACCTGTGGAGTTCAGGTGTGACGGCTCTGCTGAACTAACACAGTTGATGCTAAACAGTTCTTCCTTTGTCTCGCGCCTTTTAACAATCAGAATGTTTCGCTTTAAAAAGAATCCATCCTTCTTTGAAAATGAGGTACAAAACACCCCAATCAGACCCAAACCTCTGTAACTCTTCTGTCATTTTTATGTGTTCATTGTAAAATTGATCCTTTAAGGACGATTCAAGGAATGGAACACAACTCCAGCATGTGATAAACCTCCTGAACAACACGCCTGAAATACTTAAACATGCTTTAAAGCCTATTTACAATTAAAGGGGTGTGTTTTGTAAAATGCTGTGATTTTAAATGATTTTATTATAATCTGGTAGAAAAGGTTCTGAGTTTGTGAACAAGACAAGTGAGTTTCTTTGAGAAGATAAGATAGTTTGCTCATTTACAGCAAAGATGTTAAATAATTCAAAGGAACGGGGATTGGTGTGCACGCTGCTCTCCGCAGCTCATTCTGCGGGAAGATCTGTCATGGTTTTATGAATCAGATCTCTTTTGACATTTGTTGCACCTCTAATGTTACATGCATTTAAATTGATTATTTGACCATTGTTTTTGTTTCGTGAAGACTTCACAAGAGCAAAAGTTGCAGCACTTCCCAACACATGATGTTTGAGAAAGTCCCCATTCTGTGGCCTGGAGGACAAAATATTCTCCTTTTACATCACGGATGTTTTTCACTCAGTCCATCCTAAACAAGGCTGAACTGGGCGAAAGAACGACAGTTTTAATAAATTGTTTAATTGTTCAAGATTACAAGACAGAATTTATTTAGTGCGTGAAGATTTTAAGATATGTTTCTGAGTTTGGTTCTAGATTTATGGTTCTTTGAGTCAGATTTGTGATTAATGGTTTGTCCTATAAGTGCCACAGATATTTCATTTTACATTTTGAATTACAAACAGTTTAATTTATTCACAAGTTAATGCAATTCTGTACTTTATTAGACTTTTTTTTGTGGGAAATGTGTAAAATCCTGCTCCCAGAAACCCCAGCTTCATGCATTTTATCAAACAAGTGGAGCAACTTTCACAGAATAAAAGCACAAGGTGCATCACAAAATAAAAGCTGAACAAATGTTACATAAAAAACAACAAGAAGTAAAACAGAAGGGTATAAAAGTAAATCCAAAACACAAAACACTATATACAACCATACAGTTTGTCATTAAATGAGTCTTCAGCTGCTTAAAAAAAAATCAACAAAATCAAATCAAATCAAATGGATCTGATTGTTTGTTAAAGTAAACAAACAAATATATGCCTAGAAAGTGTGTTTTGTTTTAGTGATGTTGCATGAAGAAGTGCACTAAATGATCAGATCCAGGAGATGGCGGCACGAACTAAGTAACTCACAGTGAGACACGCGCACACAAATGTGGTCATTTGTTGGGAAAATTAATTTTAATAAAAAAAACGTGCAAGCAGGAAACAAGAAAGGAAAACTGTGATTTAGGCGATGCTAAAGAAAATACAGCTGGTCTGAGCCCCTCTTTTGATTTGATTAAAAAAAAGTTATAAACACTTTTGACAAAATGCTTCAATTTCCATTTAAATGTAAAAAAAATAAAACCTCTAAAGCTGAAAAAACGTGCACACGCTTGCAACATGTTGCCCAGAAACAGTAAAAAGTAGAGGCGCTAACTGTTCAAAATGATCCGGGAGGTTACCAAAAAGACGCGCGCGCGCACAGAGGAGGGGAAGGAGGCGCACGCGGTAATGTTTGTCAACGCTTAAACGCCCTTAATTGAAACGTTAACCTGATTGGGTGGAGAGTGAGAGGGGAGAGGGTGTCTCTGTCCCAATAGGCGAATCCTTTTTAATATTCCGCCTCGAGATAATCGCGCACAAAGACTGAAGCGTCTCGTGCGTAACGAGGATGATCCGGTGAAGGTGAATCCGGCACAGGCAGAGAAGCAGTCAGAGGAGAGCGGCACTTCAACTCCTCCTCGTCGCAGCACCTCCTCAGCTGACGAAGAGGAGCCTGAAAGTTTCAGAACAGTCGGGAGGAACTCTCCGAGACGCGCAAAGAGTTCCCACACGCGACCGTAGCCTGCGACGCGCGACCCAAGAGGCTATGGATCGGAGGATGAGCCTGAACGCCGGCGCGGGGGACATTTTCCATAAAACTCTCAGCGCCGTGTCCACCAAGAAGATGGACCCTTTCAGATCGGCCGGCCTGGAGCTGCCCACCAGAGACCGCCAGTCCCAGATCGGCTGCTTTGACCAGGCAGACCCAGACCCGATTCAGCCGGGGGGACTTGCGGGCAGCAGAGGGGGCACGCTGGGTCTGCCGACTGGATCTTTGTGCGTCAACTACGGGGAGAGCGCCAACAGGACTTCGGCGGCAGAGAGCAGCGGCGGGGAGCAGAGCCCCGACGATGACAGCGACGACAGGTGCGACATGGTCCTCCTGGCCGACGTGCGGACCGGCCCCGGGGGGAAAGTCGAGGGAGGTAAGAAAACCAAAGAGCAGAAAATGCTGAGGCTAAATATCAACGCCAGGGAGAGACGGAGGATGCACGACCTGAACGACGCGCTGGACGAGCTCCGGGCTGTCATCCCTTACGCGCACAGCCCGTCCGTGCGGAAACTCTCCAAAATCGCCACGTTGCTGCTCGCTAAGAACTACATCCTCATGCAGGCGCAGGCGCTGGAGGAGATGAGGAGGCTAGTGGCGTATCTGAACCAGGGCCAGGCGATCTCCGCGGCTTCCATCCCGGCCACCACTGCGCTTGCAGCTCCGGGGCTGGGCGCGTACGACCAGCCGCCCGGATACCCGTTCCCGACCGGCGTGGCTGCGCCCTCATGCCCGGATAAGTGCGCGCTGTTCAACAACGCAACCGCCAGCCTGTGCAAACAATGCACTGACAAGCCTTAACTGCGCCCCGCAAAGAACTCCAAAAAGACTCAAAAGAAGCACAGAAGAGAGCAGCTCCCACTTTGGAGGACACTAAGAGACAGAGTCCTCTTGTTCAAATAGAGACTCAAAGTAACACCGATACTTTTATAATATTTACTAAATACAATAAGACGGCTTCTTTTTTTGTTCCAACAATACTTGATTGTGTATCTGAATCATTCTTAAAGTGCTGATTGACACGAGGGCCGGACAGAGGAGGAAGAAGAAAGGCCTGTGAAACATGTAGGACGCTTTTTTGGAGATTTGAGTGACCTGGCAACTTTGAACTTTGAACACCTTCCCGGAGCGTTAATCTCACTTTCTGCTGCTTTCTCCTGATTTATCAGCTGGTTTTCTTTCATTTCCTTTCATCAAAAGGCCTGAATTAAAGACTCTTCTGCTGAATGTTACAGTCATCCAATCAGATCTTTATTTTATGTAGGGCCACTATGATGTAATAAAAATCCAAGTAAAAATAATCTAATTCAAGTTCTCAGATGTTTTGATGTGTGTTTTGTAATTTATTCATTTGGGGATATTTATGATGGATATTTTGCTTGCATTGCACTTTGTTGTCTAAGTTGATGTATTTTTCTTTTTTAAATTATGATTTATTTTTTATGTTTTAAATATAAAGTCTTGATGAAACGCGTTGTCAGGTCAGGCTGGTTTATTGTAGATACTTTGGTTCTATGAGCAAAGAGGGCCGTTTGTATGTATTTCAGTGTTGAAAAGCTTTATTAAAATATTTTGAACAACAGAAATCTGCTTGAACTCATCCAAATATTAACGTGGAATCAGAAAAAGATGATTGGATTTATATTTTAATGGTGATTGACAACATTTTAGGATGGTTTAGCCACTTTTAATATTTTTGATTCGGTGCGCTTTTTCACCACAATTCAAACCATTTGGGATGAAATGCGGGCGCAAAGTTCAAACAGAGGGGAATAAAAGTTCAATAATTTTACACTACTTCGAAACTATGATTTCTATTTTTTTGTTTGTTATTTTGAGCAGAAAGTAATGCCAAATTCTAAGAGAGAAGGCCAAACGTGACGTCTCGGGGATGCGCAAAGACGCATCGCCAAATGGACAAAAAACAATCAGCTGACTTTTATTGTTTTCTTCCACAATGCTGTGCTATAGAATCATTCAAACACAAATCTGTATGAAAGCTGTTTCTGTAATACCTGATTTCTCACAATCAGACTCATCGTTGAGATGATTACAGGTGCAGAATGTGATTAAGACATAATTAAAAGCTCGTTTAATGGCGCAGCTTAGCGTCTTTTAATCATGCGCAGCTTCAGCCGCAACTTCTTTTGTTCCCCATTCCCGTTTTAGAAATCCTGGAGGAAGATTTGATCAGGGCAAAACTTAAATAAATTTTTCAAAAACCACACTTGTCTCTCGTGGAGCAAGAAAAGTTCAGAGAAGCCCGAATCTGATCAATTTGAACCACTTAAACACAAAAACAGGTTCTTATCCATCATGTTTTTTTAATATGGAGTAAAAAAAAAAAATTAATGATTTAAAAATATAATGAGTAAAAATATCTTGACAGCAGCTTCCATGATGTGAAATGACTCAGATTTAGGAGTTATAACTTGATGCAGTAAAGTATAAAAAGATGGAACAAAAACATTTTTTTTTTTGTTGACCATTTAATTTTGAGATTGGTTCACGTAGTTTAAGAAGTACAAACATGTACAAAAAAGATATTTTTATATTTCCGTCAAAATTTATTCCTAATAATTTCATCTCCAGATGTTTAATATTTTCTTTCACACTGTTCATATTTCATCATTTTTTTTCTCCATTGCCAATCTAAGTTTGTCTGTTTGACAAGTAGAGAATCAATAAAGCATCACATTTCATCCCATTTTAGTCCTCACTCACCTCAGTTAGGAAATAATCATCAACTCCTGCACCAAAATGTTTTACAGCTCATAGAGATGCTTTTTTTTCTTCTTGCTGATATTGAGACTCATAACATAATTTATGCAATATGCATTAATGCACAAATGAGTGGAGCATTTAACCCATACTAATATTCACATTAGCCCAGAAGAGGGAATTCCCCAGGGGTGAGACAGAGCCATATGTGTGGAAAACAAAACACAGCATTCAAAGGAAAACAAGCACATCAGTGCAAAGGTGGAGGGAATTTTACAACCTGACAAACCACCTTTAAAAGATTAAAAAGAAATAAATACATTTTTTGTTCCTCTTTATGGGGGAGTTGTGTGTTATTTCAAACTAAGCAGCTTTTGTCAGTGACCTCCATGGACATACAATAAAAAATAAAACGTGTTTTTATTTGTGATTCTAATAATCTCTTAAAGGCATTTAAACCAAGATTTGCGTCTCATGAATAGAAATGAAGAGTACAAAATAAATAAATAAAACAACATCCAAACGTCCAATTTACCCTATCACAGTGCAGCAGGGTATCTCTTCGTAACGGGGGAGGTGATGTATGCTAAGGAGGAGAAGCAATAAAGTCAAAATATACATAAACACGGTGAATTGAAACGTCCCCCTCGTATCAGTAACAAGCCAAACTCTGGCAATGGATGCATGCATGTTGTGTCATACAGTAAAGATATATGTGCTGCGCTGGCTGAGGTACCAAATCAACCCCTGGGTGGTAATTCATTTTTGTCAGACCGCTGATAACAATGCATAATGCTGTCTTCTTGTTGTGCACACACAATGCACGCTAATAAAACTGCAGCTGAGCTTCAACAACTCCTGTTTTATGTGGCTTAACCGCCCGACATTAGCTGCACCAGCGGCAAAAAACAAGCAAGGCGTCAAACTTTATGGGCAGAGCTGCTTCCATATTCATTTTTACCCCCTTGCTTTTTTTTTTTTGGCTATAAGTAATGCCGGCCTTTAGATCTTTCTGGTTACCGGCCGCTTTGTTTTCAATAGATACGTCAACTTGAGTCAAAGCATCCTCCGCTGTGATCATGGTAAACCTTCCCACTTGTCCACTCCCCTCATTAGATGTATTAAAATCTGCATGTGAAGTGGATTCAAGCTGCAGGAGACGCTTTAATGGAACCAAATACATGGCGACAACCTTTGAAACACAACCTGAGTGGCTTTATGAAGCTGGAAACAAACAAATCTGTCCATTTAACCCAATAAACAACAAAATGTGATGATTTTTTAAAAATAAAGTAAATCTTTCTAACAAAGTCTAGCATTCCTTGAAGGACCTGCCACTCTTGTAGCCATTTTTTGTCAAACCCTGCGTGCACAATCTCATGTAATATTAAGAGCGGTTACACTCTTGTGTTGTGAGGGGCTGTGGGAACTCATCAGTGCCGTAGTCTTGTAATCCCGAGGCTGTTGGTTCAAGCTCAGATTGCGTCAATCAGGGTATCCAGTGCCAAACCTTTCACGAAGGTTCGCTTGCTCGCCTCCATTCTGGACCTGCCATGTCCGTTTTTTCTTCATGTTCCTCTCAAACCCAACCGGTCGAAGCAGATCCGCCTGTCCTGAGCCCGGCTGGAGGCTTCTTCCTGTTATGAGGGAGTTTTTCCTTTTCACTGTTGCCTTTGTGCTTGCTCAGGATGGGAGACTGTGATAAAATGATGATTCAACACAATCTGCTGGCTTCCCTACCTTAGATAAATAATATTAATTGAATTTTTATGTATATGAATGTTTTTGTTCATTGCCCTGAGATAACTTCTGTTGTGGCTTGGTGCTATATACATAAACTAAACATTTATCCTGACTTGACTGGCTCATTTACTATCACAGCTCAGTGTTGACTCGACCGAGTTACAGACATTTTTGTTTTCTAAAGTCATTTGTCTTTGATTGTCATCTTCATTCAGGTTGACTCCAAAGGTTAAATAACTGTAGTTAGATCAAAATATTGTTTCCTGAAACTTTCAGTTGAATCCGTAAAGGTTCATGAGATATTTTGCTGACACACTGACTCTGCAGCGGAGGGATAAAGTGCTGCAGTTTACAAAAGTAAGTTTAACATATTGCCTTTATCGCCTTTTGTTGTTTCAGAATTTTTATTCAGGTCATCTTTTCTTAAATGAATTTCTCGATCAGACATAATCTCTCCATATTTTTTTAATGTTTTCCCGCGTGAGGTCCATTTTCTCATAATGTTTGTTTTTCTTTGAGGATCCCAAAGGTCAGGCAGCCGGAGCAGCTCAGAAACTTCCAACAGGCAAACAATAAGTGACGTAATGAAGTGTGATTATCTCCTCATCTGGAATACCACTGTTGAGTAACATTTCTAATATCCCAACTGCTTCCATATTAATCAGATTAACGGCCCAATCCCCTAATCCCTGTTTACCGATGGCTCTGTTTTTCTGCCCTAATCTGATGTTCTTTTATTCCCTTCAGATTAAACTGTGCGGACTGAGATGGGCTATGTTGCTGTACAGGTTGTTTACACCAGAAAAAAACAATTCAGTCTGAATTTGAACAAATAAAAACAGGTGCAGTGAAGTCGAGTGCTCTTGTTGTGCAAATATATTTGTGCCCAGTAAATCAAATTATATGGAGAGACGCATTTCACTTGATTTGTTTTGATCTTAACAGCATTTGGGCTTGTTTTTCTTTGGAAGTTGATTGAATGATCTTTGAAACACGAACAAATAAAATGTGATTTTAAACTAGAGAAGTTGCATTTCCTGTGAATGTTGAGAGCTGATAGACACAAGAAATTTGCTGAAGATGCTGAAACTGTCGTTAAAGATAAATGAGGTAGAACACTAGCTAAAAGCTAAAAGGAGAAAACATGGCTAAAAGATGCAAAAATGCAAAAAGGGCAAAACGTTGGCTTAAAGGTAAAAGTAGCTATATGCTAACTAAAATGTATAAAAAACGCTGGCAAAAAGGGTATTGTCCAAAGTATCTAACGCTAGTTAAAAATAGCACAATAATAGCTAAATGCTACCTAAAAGTACTGAAACACTGGCTCCAAACAAAAGTAGCTAAAAGCGAACCAGCACCTAAATGTAACAAAATACCACCTAACAGTAAACACTGGTTCAAAACAAAAGCTAAAGCTAACCACCTAAATGTAACAAAATACCACCTAACAGTAAACACTAGTTCAAAACAAAAGCTAAAAGCTAACCACCTAAATGTAGCAAAATGCCATCTAACAGTACTGAAACACTGGCTCAAGACAAAAGCAGCTAAAAGCTATCTAGCACCTAAAAGTAGCAAAATGCCAGCTAACAGTATTGAAATACTGGCTCAAGACAAAAGTAGCTAAAAGCTAACCAGCACCTAAAAGTAG